CACTTTGGAAACATATAAATTAACTATTATATTTGCCTTCAAGAACTATCCTAGCTCTACTACTTACTAGCTTGGACAACTTCAAAACTTATTAATCTCTCTAAATATTTGTTTTTGTTTTGCTTTATCTTTAATATGGAAATAGTAGTTAGCTTATACTGTTATCACATTGAATGAAATATTTATAGAAAGCACTTAGCCATGTTCTTGTAATGTAAAATATGCTCAATAATCAAAGTTATCCCATAGTTTAAGAAAACAAGATATGCCCCTTAAAATTAATTAATACTTGATTTAAATTTAGGTTCCTATAAAAAACAGAACATATGTCATGCATTGGTAAATAATCATTACCAAATGATCTTTATAAACCATGATAAAAATGTGGAATGATGATGAACTTTTATTGAGTGTTTATGATATGGCAATACTATTTTATGTACTTTATATGTATTAACTCATTTAATCCATATTTAAAAAATATAACCCTGTAAAGTAAATGCTATTACTATTTCCATATTAGGAAATTGAGACACAGGAATATTAAGTAATCTGCCCATATCAACAACTAGTCAGTTTTGTGACTGGATTAGAATCCAGGCTCCAGGTCTATACATTTTGTTATTTCTAAAAGATTTTCCCCCAGCTTTCTTGAGGTATACCAAAAAACTGTACATGCTTAATGTATGCAATTTGGTGGGTTTGGACCTATGTATTCATTTCCACTTCCATCACCACAATCCAGGTTATGACCATACTGGCACCTCCAAAGGTTTAGGCTAGATATTTAGAAAGGTTTCATGGAGAATATCAGCTTTGGACAGATGGAAAATAACAGAGGATATTCTCTTCTAAGTAGATAGAATGAACAAAATATGACTTGAGGCCAGGATTATTCAAGGAAAGTTTGCTTTATGTGGAAAACATACAATAAGTACCTATTAGATGCAAGTTATCCTTCTAGATGTTAGAGACATATGGAGACAGGCAAACATGAGTCTTACTTTAAAGGTGCTTATAGTCTAAAAGGGGATGGGCACAGAGTTATGGTGTTTAATCATAACTCAAGATAAAAAGTGACAAGTGAGTTCAAAGTTCTTTGAGAATTCAGAAAAAAGAAAGGACATCCTGAGGCAAGAATGGAAAAGTTTTTGTGGAGTAGTTAGCCTTTGAATCAAGTCTTTAAAAGTATGCTAATAAAAATTGGCAAGTGTGATAACATTATAGAAATGAGGTCATTTCTGATTATGGGAATTTTTAACATGAAGGGTTTAAAACCAGTGAAGAGAATCACCTATGTTGGAAGGAATAAATATTGGGAAATAAGATTGGAGAAATAAGTTGAAAGCAATACAGAGAGGACTTTATTATTTTGTTTTTATAATTTAATTTTTTAATTACAGTTGACATTCAGTATTATTTTATATTAGTTTTAGGTGTATATCATAGTAGTTAGACAATTATATAATTTACAAAGTTATCCCCTCTATAATTCTAACACCTGGCACCATACATAGTTATTATAATATTATAGACTATATTCCCTATGCTGTACTTTACATCCCTTTGACTATTTTGTAACTACCAATTTGTACTTCATAATCACTTCACTTTTTCACCTACCCTACAACCCCTCTTTCATCTAGAAACCCTCAGTTTGTTCACTGTATCTATGAGTCTATTTCTGTTTTGTTTATTTTGTTCTTTAGATTCCACATCTAAGTAAAATTATATAGTACTTGTCTTTTGCTGTCTGACTTATTTCACTTAGTATAATACCATTTATGTCTATCCATGTTGTGGCAAATGGTAAGCTTTCATACTCTTTTATGGCCAAGTAATATTGCAATTTATATATATACCACCTCTTCTTTGTGTACTTGTCTATTGATGGACACTTGGGTTGCTTCCATATCTTATCTATTGTAAATAATGTGCAATGAACATAAGGGAGCATATGTTCTTTCAAATTAGTGTTTTAGATTTTCTTGGATATATACCCAGAATCAGAATTGCTGTGTCATAAAGTAGTTCTGTTTTGTTTTTTTTAAAAAAATTGCAAAACCTCCATACTGTGGAGAGGAGTTTTAATGCCTGAGTAAAGGCTAGTGATTTTATCTTACATAATGAACCTTTGCACATTGAGGTCAAATGCTGTGGGAACTGTTCTGTCAATAGTGGTTAAGAATGTGGGTTCCAAAGCCAGAATGTCTTGATTTGAATGTCAGCTCTACCTCTTAAAAGCAGAAAGCAAAGGATGAGTTAACAAAACTATCATTTACTGTTCCACTCTAAACATTAAAAGTTTCCTGAGAAATTTTCCATGCCTGCAGATGTGCTGGCTGTTAGGGACATCTAGATGCAAAGAGATTCTCTGCCCTCACTTGGTTCATGAGTTCCTGGGAAGGACAGGAGAAAGGCAAGGATGTCAGTGCAGATTATCAGCACTTTGTTGGGTCTGCCTGGCCTATGTGAGAGTAGGCAAAGTCCATAAGTCTGCCTGGAGATGAGGGAAGGAGGGCTACATATCAGTGTGTCTGTAGAAGGGCCTGACACAAGAGAGATTTATAAGAGTCCTCTCTTGCCCTCTATCTGAAGTTTACCTTAGTTCCATTCTGGGCTAGAAATAACATTGCCAAGTACCACCCTAAAAGAACTAACCCACCTAACCCCATCACCTACTTTCTTTTTCAACCAGTTTGCCTATTTAATGCTGAAATTTTCATTGACACTAAAGTTGATTTGCAGTCATTAAGTGCTTCCTTGTCAAAAATC